TGAAATTTAAGGATATCCAAGTACTTTGGAGAGAGAATAAGGAAAATGGACATCTGGAATTTTAACAAAGGCGAGGAAAAATATAAAAATAAGATTTCAGATTATTATTTGCAATCGTCATAAATTGACAACATTCATTGAACAATAATTTAGAGTCTCTGAAGAATAACAGTAGAATTATCCCAAAGGCCATTTTGATATGAAATCATTCAATAATTAGAATGAGAAACTGTCATTAATTACACCACGTGAATGGCTCCGAGCGGTGGTTCCGGAGCCATTGAATTATGAGACTCATGCGAAATATTCGTACGGTACGTAAATACACGTCTAACCCACTGAGCACAAGCTCAAACATTAATTCGAAGGAACTGGTTACACTGTTGGAAATTTTTTGAAATTTAAGGATATCCAAGTACTTTGGAGAGAGAATAAGGAAAATGGACATCTGGAATTTTAACAAAGGCGAGGAAAAATATAAAAATAAGATTTCAGATTATTATTTGTAATCGTCATAAATTGACAACATTCATTGAACAATAATTTAGAGTCTCTGAAGAATAACAGTAGAATTATCCCAAAGGCCATTTTGATATGAAATCATTCAATAATTAGAATGAGAAACTGTCATTAATTACACCACGTGAATGGCTCCGAGCGGTGGTTCCGGAGCCATTGAATTATGAGACTCATGCGAAATATTCGTACGGTACGTAAATACACGTCTAACCCACTGAGCACAAGCTCAAACATTAATTCGAAGGAACTGGTTACACTGTTGGAAATTTTTTGAAATTTAAGGATATCCAAGTACTTTGGAGAGAGAATGAGGAAAATGGACATCTGGAATTTTAACAAAGGCGAGGAAAAATATAAAAATAAGATTTCAGATTATTATTTGTAATCGTCATAAATTGACAACATTCATTGAACAATAATTTAGAGTCTCTGAAGAATAACAGTAGAATTATCCCAAAGGCCATTTTGATATGAAATCATTCAACAATTAGAATGAGAAACTGTCATTAATTCATACAAAATTGTGGTTGATCGAGAAAATGAGGTTATAATTCATATAGACGATGCGAACCATCATGAATACGAATTGCGTGATGGCTCCGTGGTAATGCGGCAGGTTGCGAGCAGTCCGTAGGTCCTAGGTTCAAACCCCTCTGCGATAAAAAACTTTAATTTCGGTTTATAGGTTTGACAGGTAGGATTCCGAGAGTAGTAAACAATAAACATAAATTGTATTTGTTGAGAAGAATGCTTAACTGAAAAATTAATATTTTTTCATCTTATCTCGGAGCAATGGTACCCCACATATACAGGATAATTATAATACGGTATCAGGAAATTATAATACTCAAGATATAGTTTTACTGGACGTGTATATGAAAATTGCTATACTGGTATGTGAATTTCCTCAGATGGTATGAGACCCAAAAGTATGATAAATTTATAATACCGTATGATGTAAATTACTTCCTACACATGTGCAATAATTTTGGGTCGGAAATTTTTAACAGTGTACTGTTAAAAATCTTATTATTAACTTGAATCGAAAGTGAAAACTCAGATCCGTCCATCACTTTAGAAACAATGAAGTGAATAAAAAACTATTGAACAACTCATCATGCCCCATTTTCGATCCTCCAGATATGGTTACCATGCCAGGTGAGTCAATCCGAGCGGATAACGCTTTTTGACGTTAACGCCAAAGCCCCAACCCCTGATTTCACGTTGAGAGCAACAATGAGCCCGACGATCACAATCTCCTGCATTAGTTCCTGGTTATCCGGCCATTACCATTATGCCTGCACTTGGCTTCTATCATTCCATCGTCTGATTTTTTTTATCGACTCCATCGTCTTATTTATCTCCAATCATCATTGACATATGCACCTGGCAGACGAAAGTAGCAGAATTGAATTTATTGCGTAAATTGCGGCTCATTATGAGCTAATTTTATACGCCTTCAATAAATTTTCTGCTAATGCCATTTAGAAAAAAAACGTGTCCATGCTAACTTTTTCGTAAGTCAGCAGGAACAATAGTATGAAATGAACAGAATTCGATTTTCGAAATTGGATAATTTGAAGCTGATTAAGAGCTATTCTACGTTTTCAAAAAATTTCCTATTAATAGTTTTTGGAAAAATAGATTAAAGTAGCTCTACCCTTACGGTAAATTCAAAGATTACTGAAAACTGCAAAAAAATTCTGCTGCTACCTTTGACTGCGGGCTGTCCCACGTCTTAGAGCATTTCATCTTCATCTAGGAGGTGAATAAACATGAGTTGAACTATTGTTCGATCGAAATTTCTGTAGAAATCATCAATTTACCGAGAATAGCCGAGATAAACGTCAAGCATATCAATCGACAATTCGCAATCTCATTCCAGATTTACCCCAGCTAGTCTCTCCATTTCTTTGTTCCTCGAGTCCCCGACTCTCCCGAGGGACTTGTGACGCATTATGTAGCTCTTTTACCCTCTCTACAACCGATCGTTATCTTGCCTGATACTATTTCTGAAGTACCAATGAAACGTATCATCAAAGGACATCCAACAGAGCCTCAATTTCATATCGACGAATAAATAGCCCCATTTTTTTCATGTCTCATAGCCGATAAATTCGACTCGCGTATGTTTCAACGGCAAAATCCTCCTCATGAGGTCGAAACACGGACGAAAAAATTTAATAGAAAAACCTGTCGAATTCGTTAGAAAATTCTATTGAATTCCGATTGAACTGTTCTATTAGTTTCTGCCCGATTCCATTGAAATGTTCAATAGAAAATATTCAGTAGAATAAGTTAATAGAATTCAATTTTTCTATATAATTTATTCTATTGAGATATTTTCTATAGAATTTTCTCGGCTCAAATTTTCCAAGTTTTCTCGTTTGATTTTCTTGATGAGAAGAAAAGAAAAATGAAATGAAAAAAAATTAGAAAATTTGAGTCGAGCAAATTCTGTAGAAAATATATGATTCTTGATTTTTTCACATCTAAGAAAAAAATTAGAATTCCGAATGTAATCGAGTTTTCTGCAATTTTTTTGCAGTTTACAATAATCTTTGAATTTACCGTAAGGGTAGAGCTACTTTAACGTGCCTCAACAATTCAACTACAGTTGCCTCATCGTCGTGATGAACGCAAGCACTTGAGAATTAAGTGGACCGCTCTGCAATTCAAAGTAAAACAGTTGCAGCTTCGAGATAATAATAATACTGGCGGACAAAATAGTAACACGCGTCGGTGGTCCTTTACATGGGGATTCCCCTCGCTTTCCGGGCTCTTGGTGTAGATAAAATGAACGAATACAATTTTTATTATTTCGTTTTTTATTCTTGTTCAAGAGGTGCCGAAGAATCTCTGGGGAGGAAGCCCCGAGGGAAATTATGGCTTTTGTAAATGCAAAATATCTCGTGTCCAATGTTATAAAAAAATTGGAATTTCAAATTTTGATGGAAAACTCAGCGGAATTTCAAGTTTTTCAACAGCAGAAAAACGAGAATTTCTCACCTTGAATTTTCAATCAATCGAGACACCAAGAATATATTTAGCAAAAATAAGAATTAAGAATTTATTTATTTTATTTCGAATATAGGGGAGGTTGGGGTAAAACGGACACTTGATTTTTTTTTTAATGTTAATGAGGGGTTGAAATATTGATAAAAGTTGATAATTTTGTTTTTTAATACAAAGAACAATTCTTTCCCTTTGTGGCGAGCCTAACCTGAGCTCAATTGAAGAATTTGTTTCTGACTTATGAATAATTTTAAAAAAGTCTAGTGTCCATTTTACCCCACCCTCCCTTATTTATATTCATTTTTACCTCAATTTTTCTTATTCCTATTCATTCATGAGACAATAGATCTGAAATTCATTAATTCTTCCCGAAAATTTTCAATTTTCAATCACAAAAATTCATAAAATTCCAGTGAAACAATAATGTCCTGAAAATTCCCAAGAAGTTCAGTAGAAAATTTTCAACTCAGATCTCAGATCCTACAGCACCTCACGAAAGAAAGCCACCAGCCCGGTGGCCTGGCGTAGTGGTTAAGGCCGTTGCCTCACAACGGATAGGTTCCAGGTTCGATTCCTGGCCGGGTAGAATGGTGAGATCTAACCATTTTTAAAGTCTTGATCAATCGCCATATAGTCTCATCAGACTCGAAGCGATATAAAATAAGCATAAGAAANCTGATTCAGCAAAATATCCAAAATATCCCCCAACCCTCAACGACCCCAAGTGACATTGCACATTTTTTTCGAGTCTCCGGGTTACCTGCCACCCCTCAACGACTCTGTCCCCTCTTCGCGTACATGCTGTACACCTAGACACATCTTCACAGACGAACGCGTCTGCTGAATGGGATTGTGAAAATGTGGACGATGTGGAGGGGGTGGATATTCTAGATGGGGCAAAATGCGTAATCCGGTTTCTTCGGATGACGAACTACGCGCCTAGTTGTACTAACGAGTTGCTAATGCGATCTGTTATAAATTTCATTTGCCATGCGATTTCACGCATCAAAGGTTTCTTCATCAAGTTTATGCTAATATCGTGTGCTCACGGGGATGCGAAATTGTATCATATTATTCATGAAGTGATCTGAAAGTATCGGACGCATCGAATTCTCTTCATCGAATTTCTTCCAACGACTCAGTTAATCCTCATTCGCTGGGGTGTCGAATCGATTGATTGAGAACGGGAGACTAAAATGTGTGATAATCGGGGATTTTTCCGTGTTTTCACAACACTCAGGGGGTGATTTTCAATTTCAGATGAAAGGAAGAATTTGATCACAGAATGGGAAAAAAAAACTCTGGGCCAGCTGCCCCGACGTACCGAGCCGTGATTAACGTTGCGAGATCAAATTTCTAGAAGAGTGAGTTCTGAATTATTCTGGCGGAATGGAATATTCATCAGGTGCATATTCGAATGCGAAAGCAATGTGACGTATCAAGTAAAATTTAGCGCGTAAACTTACATGTGTGTGGAGTGCGGATGTGGAGCTGAGGTCCAGGACATCAACCACGTCATATGGAAATGCCCAGAATATTCTAGTCAAGAAAGAGACTTAATGATTGAGAGACTTATCAAGCACAAGTGTCCTAGACCATTCACCATTTCTACATTCCTGGTGGCGAAAGATCTTGAACCCCTAAAAATTATACATCAGTTTATTAAAAAATGTAAAATTAGAATTTAAGGAAAATATTCACCATTTTTAATAACGAAGGACCAAATCGATAACAAATATGTTAATACCTTACTATCGAATGTAAATAAC